GCTCGCGTGGTTTGCCCTCTGACGTCAGGAAAAAGGGAGAGGAGGTTGAAAAATAAAGAAAGAAATAAGAACTCGGCGCGCCTGCGCGGTTTTTTTTTGAGAATTTTGAGGAAACGATTCTCGGTGGCTGCTGGTACTAGTAGTTGTGCCTGGCCGCTGCGACAGCCGGTGAGTGAGCCTGTTGTGCGGCCCCGGGCGAGGCTCTTTCTTGAGCCCTCGAGCGCGCTTTTTCTGCCCCCGGTGCCTGGTTTTCGCCTTCTTTGCAAAAGGAAACGCGATGAATCTGGCGCTTAAACCGATTTGCGATTTCGTTGGGGAAAAAGCGAAACGATCGGGCTCGCCGGGCGGTTCTGAACGCCGCGTCCCACCTCCTCCTCCATGTGTCCGCGGCTCCCTTTTGCTACGTGGCCTTTGGCCTGGTCGGTTCTTAGGGTGGCATCTTTTGCACCGGTGCCATGTCGCACCCCAAACATTTGGTGCAGCGTCGCTTCCCGTTTATAATTCCCTTGGCTTTCCCCATCATTTTCCTTTCCTAAAAAGTCTACTGAGAAAGAACTTCATAAAGTATTTAATTGATAAAGACATTTATTGTGCAGCTGCCCTACCTATTTTATTGCCTATTGCAAGCAAAGCAAGACATTCCTGCAATAAAAACTTTGTCTGGAAGATCCCCGAAGAAGCATGCTGAATCCTCATTCTTGGTTATAAACTTTACATGTAGGGTACATGTCATCACATTTGCCTGTACTTTTCAACCCGTTGCCTTATATTTCCTGCTGTAGTTGTTTTCCTGATAATTATTTTAGGCATACTGGAACCAAGAGACATTTGTTTTGCTGTATATGTAATTGTGAAGGATGTTATGAGCATTTTTAAGTATCGCTATTGATGACAGCGATGATATTAGTATATGTGATTATATAGCTATGCTAGCAAGTGTTGTGAAACAGAATTATATATTCAGACAATAGCATTTTAAATGTTTGCCCACACAAGATTCAAAGAAATTCCTAATTCCCTTCATATCTCCTTCACCATGTTTGTAATTATGCTGCTTTACATTATAGGTTGCTTTTAACAAATAGTATAAAATATTTATATATTTTATACTATTTCTATTTTATATTTATATATATATAGTGTCACAACCCCTGGTAAGCCCCAATTATGGGAGGAAGCTAACAGCTTCCATTATCTGTCAATCGGCTCGTCACGAGTCCATCACGACAGAAACCCAATATTTTTACTGTTGCCTTTGTTAACACATTTTGTGTTATATTTNTACTTGTCCCAGCTTCTGCCAACCTAGCAGTTCGAAAGCATGTAAAAATGCAAGTAGAAAAATAGGAACCACCTTTGGTGGGAAGGTAACAGTGTTCTATGTGCCTTCGGCATTTAGTCATGCTGGCCACATGACCACAGAGACATCTTCGGACAGCGCTGACTCTTTGGCTTTGAAACGGAGATGAGCACCGTCCCCTAGAGTCAGGAATCACTAGCACATATGTGCAAGGGGAGCCTTTACCTTTATGGGTATGTACCCTTCCAAAATGATTAAAATAAATCCTTCTGAACACTGCATGAGCAGGCATCACTGAGCTATCATTAAAGCAGTTTGAGTTTTTCCAGTCTTCCAAAGGAGCTTGAAAAATAGTTGTCACTGCTTTAACAGTCATAGACTTGACTCAAGTAAGTGGCATGTTTTCTTATATGAATGCAGAAATCTGAAAAAGATAGACTACTTGAATGAATAATAGAGAGCTCTTACAAAATTCAAAGCATTTCTGTAAATCATGGTCCTAACATGAATATACTTGTAGAATAACAATCCTAGTTGTTCCCAATTTAAGAATGTTCAGAACTGAGTAACTAGCAAAAACAGAGCTAAATTTACATTGTATACTGTCTGGGTTAAACATAAGAACAATACTCCAGTACATGAAAATGCTATAAGAGAAAAATATGTAATAACAATTATTTAATGGCTGACAGCTCACTAAAATTCTGTCCTAACTATAAAAATTAAATATCTTATGTGAGGATGCTTCTGTGGAGAAATTGTTTCATTACAGAGCCGCAGTGCCTTTCAGCAGCAGGAGCCATGGCAACAGGGCTAGAGAGTGTAGTAGCCATTGTAAAACATCTGGGAATTCATTTGGAATACAAATAAACAGGAGCTTTTGACTCCTCTTCATGAAAAAAAATCTAAAAAATGAAAATAATAGCACTGATTTTTATTAAAACAAAACACCTGGGTTTTTCCAGCATTAAAATAGAAAATGTAAACCAATAGAATTACATTTTCTGTTCTAGCAGACAGCAATCACCATATAAAGAGATGGTCTTGCAGTTTTTCTAAGAAAGATCAATCTAAGAGTCAATATTGTAGCTTATTATACATAACAAGAAACAGATTGGCAATGCAAAGTATATACTAGTAAACATCATAATTGCTCAGTTTATAAAATGACATTATCACATGCAACTCATACTACTAACTATGGCAGCTGGTTCCAATTTTTTTTTCTTGTGGGAAGATTCCCTAAGGGACTACAAGATAAGCAATTTTTTTCATTTCAAAGACTATTTGAGCATCAATCACTGGTCAATATAATGTATTCATTGCCAATTTAAATCCTGTAAGATTCAAGAACACACGAGCGTGTGCGCGCACATGCACACACCCCTTTTCAAAGAAAATGCTGTTATTACTATGCTTACATGATGTCTAACCATTCATAATCCATCAAATGTGGAACAGCCACATTTTCTTGTGAAACAAAATGCATTGGCCACACTCACTTCCCCATCCTCCTCCTGTCTTCCACATTTTATCCCATTAGTCACTTTATGTGGAAGCTTTTTCCAGACAGAAATCTTTTATACAGTTCTTTAACTTGTTATAAGCAGTATATGATAGTGGGTGGATCCAGATTTAGATGCTGATAATAAGATTGTTACCAATTTTTCCCAATACTTCCTTCAGTCTCCTGATGCTGTTGTATTATTCAGCAGGTAACACTCACAGCAACCTATATACAAGGGTGGTATTAACTTACCTTTCCCTATCATGTCGCAAATGTGAACACGCACGCATGTGCTCCGCCTTCTGCGCATGTGCTTTGCCTAAAAAAAGAGCCTAAATGGGACGCCGTAGAGCCAGGGTGAGTGGGCGGGACCACCTCTATTTCCACTACCGGTTTGGGTAAACCGGTTAGAACCAGCAGAATACCATCTCTGCCTATACTGCCAGCACTGGTGATACTGGAGAAACAATTATACCAAAGTATGTTGCTAGAGAGATGAGCCCTACTTGACTTCCAATAATTTATCTGAGGTCATTTTAGAAGTGCTGTCTTATAATCACCCCAGATCTTCTTCTAGGCTAGCTAAGGGTTGACTTAGTTGGCTATGACATTGAATCCAACGTTTTTGGAAAAAAAACACCAGATTATGGAAGGCTGATCTAATAGCATGGTCAAAGTCCCTCAGCCAGAGAAGCTCACTGGATGACTTTGGACCAGTTATTATTTCTCAGCTCAAATTACTTCACAGGATGTTTTTGTGGGGAAAATTTGGGAAGAGAGAGGCTATATACTGTACACTACCTTGAGCTCCTGAAGAAAAGGATAGCCCTAATCAATCAGTCAAACAAATGAATAATAAATATTAGACTGAGGTTTACTTATGTAATGATAAAGATAAAGCTGACAAAGAATTCTTATTTTTTTTCATATGCTATGTATATACATACCTTTTGTAGCCAATATGGAGATGTGAGAAATGTGGATGCCCCATAATTTTCTCCTGAGGATGGTGAAGGATATGGGTGAGGCAAATTTAGTCCAAGGTACAGAGCAAAGGGCTGTGATAGTTTAGTTGCCTTGTTCTTTATCCAATTTGCTGCTGCTTCAGTAACCTTCCAATCTTTTTGCATGACTCTTATATATGTCTTGTTGCCTATGAGTTTAGCCACAGGTCTGCCTTCTTGCTGAAGCAAAAAATCAACATTTCTGGTCCAAGCTTCCACACGGTTACTGAAAATAAGAAGAGCTTTCAAGGTATGCTTCTGAATCATAATTACATACAAATTACCCAAGATTATGATGCTGGCTTGTTTTTATTAACTGTTATTGCAATTTAAAAAGTTAGGCTGCACAGTGCATATATATATAACCAAATTACACTCATTTTAAAGTTTCTACATTCCTATTTCTCTCATGCAACATGCCGAAGTAGATTGTGTGAATTGAAATCATACGACAGGTTGTGATTTATTTAATCTAGCTATGGCTACAGCTAGAATTATCCATGGATTTGTTTCATTACTGACCTTAGTCAAATATCATCCAAACCTGACTAATGGCCAACAGAGACTTAAGCAATTATTAGTTTCCATGGAAACAATATAAACTGGAAAAGTGACTGCAAAACAAAGCAATTTATGAAGCAAATTATTTTCTGTTTCCAAACTTTGTTTCATCCTGCATCCATATATGTAAATTTCCCATGCCCTCCTCGCCAAAAGGACTAAGCAAAGTATTCAACTTCCCCATTATCCTATCCTGTTTTTTTAATCAAAAACTGAACAATCTCTACTCCGTATGAGGGTTTTCTAGTTACCACAAAGGTCATGTCACCTACATCTCTGCTAAAAAGTGATCTGTTGTATTTCATCACATCATTTAAACAAAAACCTTTAGAAAGATTTCTGCCAGCTTCCTTAGTGGTAGCTTCCCACAGAATTCCTAAATATAGTGATTTGTGTGATTGGCACAGTGGTTAAAGTGCAGTACTGCTAACTGCTGCTTGCCTGCAATTTAGCAGATCGAATCTCACCAGGCTGAANCTTTGTAATTCCTATCAACTAGAATTGTCTCACAAAATTAACTCAGAAAGGACAGACAGCCAATAGATGAAACAATGGCAACAAACAATAGTAAAAAGGCAAACAATCCCATAAATATTAATTTTATTGCTGTAGGATAAATATTGCTTACCAAGCATGGTAGGATAGATATCCACGAGGGACACCATATTTGATATGAACTGTGACTTAATATTCGGACCCATTATAAGGAGGGGAATATGGGAACTTGGTTCATACATGCTCATTTTATAAAACTGTCTGTGTTCCATTGCAAGTTCTCCATGGTCCGCAGTAAATATTATGTGAGTTCTTCCAAGCAGTCCTGTTTCATTTAGAGCGGAAAGTATCTCACCTGTAACACAAGACAAGGAAAAACATGTTAAGATATTAATTAAATAGCACTGATGTTTGCAAACATTATGTGGAATACTTCCTTGCTAACAAGAACATTTAGTGATAAATGATCATGAAAGTTTCTACCTGAAAGTTCTAAGTTTCTTTCAAAGCTTAACAATATCAAATGTAACTGAATTCCAAAACTCCATACTTGAAACTATTTTATAAAACTTAGACTTAATATCTATGGCAATTCAAAATCCTAATAATGAAATTAAAAGCCTGTCTCAAAATTTAACTCTCTGGAGATTAACTCTTAGGACCAGGTTATATTTCCTTCCCCCATAAATTTTACAAACTACATCAGAAAATTCAACTTCTTTTAAACTTAGCTTTATATCTGAGCTGACAATTAAAACAAAGTGATCGATGTTTCAGAGTCATTCTAAAGTCTTGGCCCATAATTATTACGTTATGAGTAGATAATTAGTAAAAGTGACCATCATCACACCAATTTAAAAGCATATATTCTAATGATAAGATTGCTTCAAAGTTGTAAGAACTAATTATATTTTCTATCTAACACTTCATAAGGTTATGCTTTGCATCCTATTAATAAGTGTGTTTTTCAGTTTACAGAAGTTCTTAAGGTAAATTTTAGCTGGTTCAAATGAGCAATATAATATGAGCAGGTTATAACAGCTCATAATGAAACACATCAATTAAATATTCCATATTATTGAACCTTACTTTAATATGATTAATTCCTAAAGCTAAGAACAGTCCTGATTAAAAACTATATAGAGGGTAATGTCTAAATAACTGTTTACTTCACATCTAATTTATTTCAAATGCTACTTATGACAAGCATAAAAACTGACATTTCCCTTGAGTTTCTGAATGCCATGCTGGTTTTAAAGCAAGTTAGAATAATTGGAAAGAACTATGAATCTACAGTAATTGAAAATCTATAGTACAGGAAAAGCAAATGTTAATAATATGCAAGCAGTTGCAGTCAGGGAGATTATAGCCAAAACAGGACATTGTGTATCACTCAAGTTACTGAAAACTTTATCAAATTCTTTTTGGTTTATTAGATTTTACACATTTTTTTGTTTTCTTGACTATTTTTCACTTTTTTTTTTATAAAAAGAGACTGATGTTTTCTGAATGAATTAATATTCCAAGCAGACTCTATGCCATAATATAATTTAAAATATTTGAAGAGATTTTTCCTGTCACCTAGTGCAATGAGGCCATATTCTAAACATAAAAAGTCATATCCTGGAAGTAGTTGAAGCCACAAAGGAAATAAAAGTACAGGATTCCAAACAAAGATCTTCCCCTGAAGTTCCTTCCTTCAACAAAAGGACATAATTACAAGTGATAGGGAATTGCCGCCAACTATCCTCAGAAAATAGTATGAGCTTATGTGAATCAGAGGTGAGTTCCTACCAGTTTGGCCAAGTAGGTAGTAACTCGGCTGGCCACACCTCCGAACCGGTTTTATCAGTGGCGCCATAGGCACCACCATCTTGGTTTTTGCTTTTATGGATGTGCAGAAGCATTTTTTACCTGTGCATGTGCACAAAGCATGCATCAAATGCACACGCGTCCAAAGCGCGTCCCTGAGCGAACCGGCAGTAGAAGAAGCTGGAACCAATCCCTGATGTGAATGCCAAGAACCAGCCCAGATAGCAGAGATGTTTTCCTTGACCCAAAGAAATATCCTTATAGAGGGTGCCAATGAAAGCATTCCAAAATATTAAGAATCTCCTTTGCTCTAAAGAACCAAAAAAGTCACAGATCTGAAATTGGTAGGGGCTATGTATGGACATTCCCAGATAATAGTTTGGAGGTTATCATGTAAAGCACGTTATAATGCTAAATATTTTAACATGGCTGTATTGTATTCTTCATGAATCTGTATAGGCAGATACCTAAATAAATAAAGAACAAAGGAAAAAGCAATATAAAATACCTTTAAGTACATTTTGGGGACGGGGAAGAAAGCTTCCAAGAAGTAACAGTTCTTAAATTTCTGACAATGTACAAAAATTACATGACTAGGATCAGGATGATGAATACGTCCATGAACGCATATTTTATAAAAGTAGTAACTTGGTATTACCTACCCAGCATGGCATCTGTTTCTGCACACATGGCATAATAATGTGCTCGAATATTTCTGATTTCTTCCTGTGTAAATTCTCCACTGCAGTTCTTGGTGTAAGTAGAATAATAATCAACTGGGTGCATCTCTGAAAATGGAGGCCATTTTGGAATCTTTATGGCATCATAATTCACCTAATAACAAAACAGAAATGTGCTGCATTTGATAAAATAGCTCTATTGTGCAGTTGTAATTTGTCAAAAATTGTCAAGTAGGTGCCAAAAGGAGGCATGCCGATTGAAAATGAGATTACAAAGAAGATTTCTCTCCCTAGACTGGTAGGTGCACAGAAATGAAAACTGAACTTTTTCCAAGAGGTCAGCTGTTGGCACTACTTAGACCCTGTAGAGCTACATTTTTTATTTGTAACATTTTTAGTGGGATAAAAGATGAAAAAATGATGGGACAATTACAAAGAGAAAACAGTCTTGTCTGGATTTTCTTTTGAAATCTGGGAATGAGTAGGATAACAGCATAACAGTAAAAAAAAACTTGTTTGAATCTGCCCCTGCAAACTTTAATTTAGTTGCAAACCTAAATATGATGGAGTGTCACAACACACTTTGATTTTTAATTTAGTTAATTTAACTTAGTTTAAAAATATTCTTTTTGAAATGTTACTCAGTTACACATTTTTGTTACTCAAAAAATGTTACTAAGGACAGTTAACCCTTCTTCTGAGACTTACTATCTATTTTGACAAGGGGGAAACAAACAAAGGAAATCAAAAGCAGGGGCAAAAGAGGAATCATATGCATTCTGTTCAATAACATCTACTGAAGAATAGTGTGAGGAATAGGAGCCCAAAGGATTGGCCAAACGAAAGGTTTTGAGGAAGGTGTCCACTCTGATANTATATATATATATATATATTTGCCCAACATTCCAGAGCTTATATGCATTCCACAACTTCTGCAACATGAGGGGTGAACAGGAACGCATAGGTATCCAAAGTGGAGAAACATGACAGAAGTACATATGACACAGTGCAAACTCTGGGATTTACCTACTGTAGTTACATCTGACATTAAGATGCAAATACAAAAGGCCAGGGCTTGTGTTATTGCAACAAAGGTTTCATTATTTTTAACACCACAATTATTTTGGCTTGTGTGTCCTGTATATGCTGTCTAGTTGAATTCTCTTATATATGCAACTGTATGTCTTTGTTAAACATATTTCTTTTAACAGACATAACTACATTATTTTACAAATATATATCAACTGTCTTCATATGTATCAGTAACTTTCTTTCATTGATATTACCTGTAGCCATGTCAAACAAGGAAGTGAAAGCAGCATTGAAAAGTGCCAGAGATGCAATAAGAAATAAGGAGTATAAAGAAGCACTGAAACATTGCAAGGTAATAGTCAAACGTCATAAGTTGTCTGCATTAAAATGTTAATGTTCATAGTACTGTAACCATCTTTAATGCCATCTCAGGGGGGTATCTTCACTTGCATGGTTGTTCCTCTTTCTCTTTGCTGTGTATTCTTTTATACTATTTTCTGCAGCAGTACCTTTCTTATCCTATTTGTTTTCCTTTTATAATTATATAAAACTTCCTGGTTCATCCTATTAAGCCAGAGTTTTATTTAACCTACTTTGGTGAATTAGGCACAATCATTTTACAGCCTGCTGTGGTTGGGTTCATATAACATACTAAGCCACAAGGAAGCATTTATCATTTCAGTATTGTTTAGCATCATTTGTGAATCCAACCACCGAGCCAGGTTGTTAGTTTGTTTAGTAATGTCTTCAGAGACTGACACTGGCAGGTTGTTTTTCCACCAGCACTTTTATATATAATGAAAATGCTGGAAATTTTCATTATTCCTTGCTATCAAGATTTTTGCACAATTTTAGATGTTATATAAATCAATCTGAATTTCTGAGTAAAAAATTCCCATCTTTAAGATAATAAATCTGAATAAGACTTTTAAGCTCTTAAATCATTTAATAAACATTTATCTGAATTGCAAAAAGAAGTTTGATATTTTCATTTGAATTTATGTTTAATAGGCAGTATTGAAACAAGAAAAAAATAATTATAATGCTTGGGTATTCATTGGCTTGGCGGCGGCTGAATTAGAACAACCTGAACAAGCCCAAGGTGCATATAAGAAGGCTGCTGAACTTGATCCGGGCCAGTTGCTGGCATGGCAGGTATATATGACATTAATCCCATTTTCCGTACAAACATGTTTATATCAATGTAAGCATATCTGTTTATAAGAAGAAGTTGTAGATCTTCAGAAAATACAATAATATGTTAGACTCAAAGGTAAGAAGCCTTATGTTGGATTCTTCCTGATTGAATGTCACAAAATAGAATCCCCTCCTCTTTCCCCCCCCCCTTGGTTAGTAGCTCATTTGCACATATGCAATATAATGTTTATTATTTAAGATGCTTTGTATGCCTTAGCACTATAGATTCTTCATTTTCAGCCCCCAGAATGGGTAGCAGAGCCTCGAAACAAAAAGCTTTGTCCAGTGGAACACTCTAGGTTTTGGGTCAATGACAGTTTTTCATTCCTGTTGCAAATCAAATAGTTAATGTTATATGAGAAACAGTTGGCAGTACCTTAAAAGTTTATACGGGTGATCCTCAGTTTACAACCATTCATTCAGTGACAGTTCATAATTATGGCACTGAAAAAAAATGGATGTACAACCAGTCATCAAAGTTTCCACTTGGGAATTACTGATGTAACATAATCATGATTGGGGCACTTGAGTTTCTGGCTCCTAATTACAATGTCATAAGGAGCCAGAGTCACTTGATCGCCATTTGTGACTTTCCCTGCTGGCTTCCCACAAGCAAAATCAATGCTTAATCAAAGGCATCACAAGTTGCTCTGGTAAGTCATTCCTGCTTTCCTTCTGGCCTGCAGCATTCCTGTGTATGGCCAGCACCAGCCCTCCCAGACCCTCCCCCAACTTCATGCAATTTTTTGTGTGGCCTGTGTCAGCTCTCCCTTGGTTTTACCCACAATCCACTGCACCCCTGCATTCCTTCCATGGAAATCCTCCCCTTCCTAATTAATGCTGTGTGTCTTTGGGTTATGATGGCAACCAGGAATGCCTGGGATTGTTGCTGCTAAATGATGCAATCATGTGATATCACCATTTATGGCTGCAGTCACTTAACAACAGCAATCCTAATCCCATTTACCATTGTGAATTCAAAGGACTACCTGTAATCACCTCTTGTTTGTAAAGAATAACTTTATATATTCTCATCATGAATTGCTTTAATTCATTTTCTGTTATTAAATACTTTATGTTGGAAAGTGTAGTCCATAAAATAGATAATGGAAGTTGAGACCTTATATCACACATCAAGCATTTGCTTCCAAAATGACATTCTTCAATTTCACCCAGGGCTTAGCAAATTTGTATGAAAAAAGAAATCATACAGATGTCAAAGAAGACTGGATTAAGGTTTACGAAAAACTACTAGAACTCTATGAAAAGTAAGAAATAGTTGAAGATTTTTTTTGTCATTGGTCAATCTTCTGTCATATGTATTTAAAATATTATTTTTAAAAAATGAGATTTCACCCACACATACTTTAGGTGAGACTATTTCACCCCTTTTGTTAGTCTGTATGCATCTCTCTCTCTCTCTCTCTCTCTCTCTCTCTCTCTCTCTCTCTCTCTCTCTCTCTCTCTCTCTCTCTCTCT